TGAAGGTTTCTTGAAGCCAAACCAAATTGGCTCCGGCAAAGAGGGTTGGAAAACAAACCCTCATAGTAGATTGGTCGCAGAGCTTGCGAAGGCGCAGGCGGGATTTCCAAGTGGCACCCGTTCTTCAAGGGCACAGGCATGGCAGAGTTTCAGTCGACTCGTGGCAGAGTCGGCAGAGTCTCAGAAAGTTGCAACAGCACCATCCAGTGAGGAAGTGATCAGTCCGATCGAGAATTTCATTCCGTCGCATTGCTGTGATGCCAAGGACGGGCAATCACCCCGGCCTATCAACTGCTTCTTGTTCGCCTACATGAATGCGCTGAAGTTTCAATTGCTTTGACTGAGCGGGTGTACCGAGGACATGTTGGAAAGAATGGCCGTCCTCGCAGCCACAAGCTCATGGCATCTAAACTGCCCAGTCATCTTTGCGTGAAGTTAGGCCTCGTGCTGATGACAGCGTGGGCAATGGCCACAAAGTCTGGCTCGCTTCGAGCCATAGCAAGTCAATCACAGTGGACCCGCATGCCGAGCATGCGGTGGTGCTCGCACAGGTCAACCCATGTGGATACAGTCTTCGCGAAAGCTCGATCTACTTGAGCGTCGAGTTGAGTCCAGACGTGAGGTCAGCCATGCGATCTTTGACAGGAACCGGGTGGATTCCTGGTTCCTTGGAATGACTTTGCATGGATTCACAGTTTTACTCCTAATTTTTCAAGCCTTTCCTCGGAAATTGGGGCATTTGTTGGCCAGCCTGTGAGGTATGAGTTTGGACCCCAACACCAAGAAGCCAATTGGCACCTTCACTGCTGACAGCTTTGGTAACAACAAGGCGAGGAAAGTAATCGTGGACACACACACCAACATGTCAAAAGCCATTGAAGCCCCATTTGTGTAGTGCATTATCCCCCTTTGTGCTGTTCCCAATGTGAGACCATATTGGATCTCCCAATCTCCCAATTGCCCATTGTTCTAGAATTTGCCAGGTTTTGCCACTAGGCCCTTCACCGCTGACTATATTGAAAGCAGAAGATCATGGACTACATGGTGGTGTGTGAAAAGCTGTATCGCACACTGACAGGCAAACCGCTGTGTGACCGCAGTGGGCTGGTGTGTTCCCACAAAATCAGGTGGTGCGAAGTCATTGCCCGGACACCACTGTACTTTGATTTGATTCTGTGCGCGAAGAAGCTGGGCAAGCCTTCTCCGCAGTTGACTTCAGCGCAGTATTCGAGGTCTGTGTGGTGCAAGTTCGCAGACATTGCCCCCACAGCTGAGAACACTGCCAAGCCATTTTTGAATTTCATTTTGGCAGTGGACAAGCACGCGCCAAGGGCACTACCTGTGCCAGATGGAAGTGCGTGACTGGCATCTTCACGGAGTTGGAGAAGTGTTGGGAAATGTTGGGAAGTGAGCAGCGCATAGTTTCCCAGTCATTTATACAGACAGGGCTCTCTGCAGGGCTTTCCATCTATGCTACATTATCGTTCGCTGTTGTATAGTTGAACATATTCGAGTATATTTTTGAGCCATGTAACCAGATCTAGAGAGCCCGTGTGAGCCCACTCGTGTCAACTAGGATGATCAGGATTGCCTTGCTGAGTGCCAGGCATTGCAGGGGGGCCGGTGTAGGGGAGGACACCCGCACTCTTTCCGATATTTCAAAAAAGGAAAAGTCGCGCCATGTTGTTTCTGATCACGCGCAGGTCGGCGGACCTGCCTCGAGCGATGCCAGAAGGCAATCAGATCGGTTCGGACTGATGGTCAGCCAGGCCTTTGCATCACGCACCGGATTCAGCATGAATGCGTTGATGATTCACGTTTCCATATTGGACTTGTTTTCGATCATTTTGTCGCTTCCGACACTGGGCCCTCATGCCCAAGCTTCGAAGCCTTCGAAGCCTTCCATCCGCGCCAGGCAGGAAATCGAATGCTGGACTATGCTGGACTGGCAGGGGAAGGGCGTGGACCAGGAGCTGCAACGCCGTCCAGAAGATGAATGGACCTGGGAGAAAGACCTTCTGGCGGAGTCCAGGCAAGCCACTAACCAGGGGCTCCCACTTTACCATGAAGCAAGGTTTTCATATAGAAAAACCATTTCTTACTTTAATGGGAGAAAACCTCTACTTATCTCGACTTGTTCATGGTGAGCTGGGGGCTTGTGGTAGTCATGAACGTTCGGTTTGGTCACATGCACCCGTGGTGTTGAACGTGGCAGCGACTCCACCGGTAGACCTCGACCTGCGCCCTGCAAGATCCGGTGTTTTCGGGCGACGAGCTCAGTGCCCAGAAGTCACCTATTAAAGGTCCAAATGCCACCGATCTTGGAGGGTCCTGGTGTGGAAATCCGAGTTCCTAGCTCCATGTTGAATGGGGTTGACAGGGCTTTGCTTCGGGCCGCGTTTGGCAGGTGTTCTGGCTTTGAGGGACATGACCCGATATAAAACAAGAAACAGCACTGCTACCTTTTTTTTCTGGTGATCAGGCCCTCTCTTCAGTGAGGATTCTGTGAGCGAATTACGATATAGGGCCAAGGTCATTTCAATCGTATCCCATACCGTCCCAAACAACGAGACCTGAACAACGAGACGGACCCAGCACCACATGAGGAGGAAGAGAGAAAGACGGAGTATACAGGCGGGTGTTCAGAGTGGCTCCTCAGGTTCCACGCTTCCAGTGCCAAACCTGGGAAGCTGAGCCAGGGCTTCTTAGTGGCTTTATAGGGTCTGTTTTCACCTCCTCAGGTTCAGCACGATGAACGGACCCCAACATTTTGGATGAGGGTATGATTTCGGCTAATCGATCTCAGCGCTCCAATTCAAAGTGTTGGGCAAGAGTGCGGCTGGCGCATGATTTCTCATGACTTTGGATGAGTTGTTTGCCATAGCACTACTGCACATGTCCAACTGCAATTTGTATCCTTTTGTTTTTTTCCAGTCCTTCGTGTTCCCTTCACAAACCACACTCTTTTTTTTCAGGTGGGGCGCTTGACCCATTTTCACCCCATAGAGACATGCCTGGTTTTAGGCCAGATGGAATTCAGAAGATCTCATGGATTTGTCGTGGCGTCCCACGACGCGTTTCATTTTTGATGTATGGCAACAGCGTTTCTTGCAATGCGTGTTGTTTTCGTCGGCCACAGGACGAGATAAACAATGGGGTCCCTAAGATCCCCTAAGTATAGAACTTGTATGTATTTATATGTACTGGTGTATTTGTTCGGTTTTTTAAATAGGATCATGTCTAATTTTCTCAGGTACTTGAAGTCGGGTCCAGGTATGCCTCAGAGAGTTCCTCAGAGTAACACGTTCCTAGTGCCTCTCTTTTGGAGACAGTCCCAAGGTTTTAACAATGGTCAAGGCAGTCGTTTTTGGTTGATTACCAAAGAAGGGTACCCAAACAGGTGAACATGCTGAACATGCTGTTTGTGTTTTTTGCATGCTCTCGCTTTTGTCGGGCGCTTGCAGTTTTCCCAGGCATTTGAGAGGCTGAGAGCTTTCAAGGCACAGCAGATTTCAGGGGTGCGATGCTTCCTGCATCTTCCTGCATTGGATTGTACAGGCCTGTTTGGTAGTGGTGCAAGCCGATGATCCACTTGCAGCCTTGGCAGCCCCAACCCTGGAATACCCTGTATATATGATGGGTTGCTGCTGTCTTGCCATGCCCCATGAACACCCGCCAACTCCAGTCAGCGCCAAGAGTGCTAGATTCAAGCTGATTCATCGCTAACTGAGAGGCACCACTCCCAAGTTCATAGTCCCGTGGCACCACCCTCGGACAGGTCCTATCGCTTGGATTGAGGTGAAGAGTGACCGCTCACAAGGTGTCCGGAATGCTGGAGAATTCTCCCCTACCACTTGTAAATGTATTACAGGGGTGCCTCCTGTGAAGTCCTCTGTGGCCATGGGGATGTGGGAATCTTTTTTCCCAGCTAGCAAAATGGAAGTCTGAGCTGTTTGCTTTTTCCCGGACAAATTGGAAGTCTGAACCATTTTGCTTTTTCCC